AGTATTCAGAGGAAGAGAATTTCGAGGTGGCTCGGACGAGAAAATGAGGAAAATGTGGCTTGGACGAGATATTGTTGTGGTTAACCTTCCTCCCCTCGTTCAATATCACAACAAAAGTTTCTATTTTAAAAGGAGCAAGTACTATAATATTTTAGACAGGTGCAACAGGGTTGCAATTAAGGCTCGTTTTACTTTGCGAAAGTCGGTGTTTTCTCTTCAACCCTATCCCTAAATAGATTGCCCCCCCCCATTATGATTTTGCCCTTAGAGTTGAGATAGGGGAGTGTAATACATTTCCGTAATCGAACTTTTCAAGGCCTGCTCATTAAAAGAAAAAATAGACCTCTAACTTAAATGATTAGGGTGTAAAGAAGGATGTTTAAAAAGTTCAAAAAGTATGAAGAATAAATTTTCAAAAATAGTTATTTTATTTTTAACAAATGTTAACACAAGAAAAATGTTATCATATCCATTTTTCAAGGGCTTTCAAATATATAAGTCTTAGCTCTGTAGCTTAATTAATAAACAAGTTATTAACTATTTCTGATTTTTTTTTGAAACAACAATCCACCGTTTGACCGTTCTTCCCCCTAACTTATACATAAACAAATTTTAGCCAAATTTGTTCATAACTGTGATGTTAAAAAAGTGAAGAAGCCATTTTTAAGTTATTCAGAAGAAACCACAGAGGGGAGATGGAAAACACCACCCCCCCCTTGTGATTGGGTTAAATGATTTTAGTATTGCTTAGACGTAAAAAAGAAATATTAAAATATGTTGAATCTGTTGAACATGTTTGGCATTTCCTCCTATAGTCCTATCTCTATTGAATTCTATAATCNTATACCCATGATCCTATATAATTTAGGTATCCACTGTTGGATACACCTATACCCATGATCCTATATAATTTAGGTATCCACTGTTGGATACACCTATACCCATGATCCTATATAATTTAGGTATCCACTGTTGGATACACCTATACCCATGATCCTATATAATTTAGGTATCCACTGTTGGATACACCTATACCCATGATCCTATATAATTTAGGTATCCACTGTTGGATACACCTATACCCATGATCCTATATAATTTAGGTATCCACTGTTGGATACACCTATACCCATGATCCTATATAATTTAGGTATCCACTGTTGGATACACCTATACCCATGATCCTATATAATTTAGGTATCCACTGTTGGATACACCTATACCCATGATCCTATATAATTTAGGTATCCACTGTTGGATACACCTATACCCATGATCCTATATAATTTAGGTATCCACTGTTGGATACACCTATACCCATGATCCTATATAATTTAGGTATCCACTGTTGGATACACCTATACCCATGATCCTATATAATTTAGGTATCCACTGTTGGATACACCTATACCCATGATCCTATATAATTTAGGTATCCACTGTTGGATACGGCTATACCCATGATCCTATATGATTTAGGTATCCACTATTGGATACACCTATACCCATGATCCTATATAATTTAGGTATCCACTGTTCCTTTTCACGGGAAATCTAATAAAGATTGAGTTAATCTGTATATCAACAAAAGAGTTAATATCGATATATGCTACAATTCTAGAGTTCCACCATAGTATTGTTATAAATATAGTTTAGTAATCCCACCATTGTTTTGATAAATAAGCAGCATGGTTTTGTCATTATAAGCTGGATATAATAGTCGTATGTTTTACTAAGGGTGTTCTGATAAATATAAATAATGTAATATTTTGTAAATGTCCAAAATGGAAAATTACAAAATAAAATTAACTTTTTTCAAAATCCTTAACAAAGAGGTAATTCAAAACTAAATGTTGGTTTAAAGCTGCTTCAAAGCAATTAAATTAACTATTTTCTTTATAAAGTTTTTGATCTCACCCGCTGGGAAAATTCTTTGTTTTTAATTCTTTTCAAACTTAAACATTTTCCTAAAAACAAATCATTGATATCCGACTGATTTAAGCAGTTTCAGATTTAATTCCTTAAACTCCATTTCTCGGATGTTTACGTTGTCTGTTGTGCCAAATAATGATACATTATTTTATATTTTGTTTTTAAGAAGGATTTAAACAATCTTTTTTATATTCCTCTCTTAATTTTACCCCCGACACCGGTTCCTTTTCTGTATTATATATTCCCCCATTCAGCCCCCCCCCCCCCCGCACACACACCTTTGAAACTTAAACATTTAAATTTCCAATAAAGGGAGGATGATCCGAGACCTGTAGATTCCAACAGGAAATTAAATAACGGAAACTTTGATTAAATATTTTAAACATTTCAGGATTTTACCCTGCAGGGTTCCATACAAACACAGTTAAAAGACGATTTAAAGGGAATGACCGACAATATATGGCGGTTGAACTGAATATGTAGTATTGTCGACAAATTTTTTAGGATTCATTTCAGAATCGTTTTTTATAATTATTAAATAACGACGACAACGAGTGTAAAAAGTTCTACAGTAAACTAATTAGTTGTTCAGAAACAGGTTGAGAAAATAAAAGTTAACTCTTATCATCGAAAATTAGTAATCTTATTCAATTATTAGTTTCTATAATCACTCATTGTTCACAAAGATTTTCTGCAGATTTTATGGAATTTTAATTGAAAAGACGACATTTGAAAAATTTGTAGAAATCTGCGAACAAATTCACAGAAAATAAGAAGTTTAATATAATGATGAAAATGAAATAAATGATTCTAACATTCATTTATTGACCAATGTATTTTGAGAATTATGTTCCTAAACTTCTAATTAGTTTACTATAGAATGTTTACAATATTTTTCGTCGTCGTTATTTAATAATTAAATAAAACCGATTCTGAAACGTATCCACCCATTTGGATGATTTTGAACGTCGACTTTGCACTCACACTCAGTAATTATAAATTGTGGAAAAGTTTAATATGTCTCAAATGAATCCTAAAAAAATGGTCCCCAATTCTACATATTCAGTTTAATTAGTAATTACCATATATTGCCGGTCACTCCCTTAAAACTTTAAAAACTATTCACACAAATCGTTATTATTATACGTTCTTTTTTGTTTTGCTTTTTTTTGCATCGTTTAAATAGGTTTAAATAATATGGTTGCACACCGGACTAACCAGAGTGAGCAGCATTCGGTTTCTTTTTTTTGAAATCAAACGTGTTTTGGTCTTTAATTCAATAATCATTTACTTTACGGATTTGATTTCATTTAAAATGGATATGCCAACAAAAAATGATTTCATAGAAAAGGCTAACAAATTATGTTTAATGGGTCAAATTGTGATCGAAAGTCACAGCTTTCTGGAATATCGACAGAACCGTTAAATCCACGTGGTTGGTAATCAAGCATGCCACCCCCTTTAAATAGGTTTAAATGGCCGGTACTGTTGGGAATCCAGTATGCCACCCCCTTTAAATAGGTTTAAATGGCCGGTACTGTCGGGAATCCAGTATGCCACCCCCTTTAAATAGGTTTAAATTGCCGGTACTGTTGGGAATCAAGTATGCCACCCTCTTTAAATAGGCTTAAATTGCTGGTACTGTTGGGAATCAAGCATGGAATGTATATGCAGTCGCATTATTGTCTATGTGAGGTCAATATTAAAACCCTCAAAATTGTCCTTCTTTGATTATTCCTCTAAACCGCTTTTGACTTCTCTAGAAAGTATTTTGATTTATATGAAATTTAAGGAATTTATTAGGAATGGAAGTGTTTAATTTGTTTGTTAAAGTACTAAAACTAAAAGCTTGTAAATAAATAACAAGAAAAGCTCTATTAATTCTAAAAAATTGACGCAAAGTCTCATGTAAGTTCTCTCTTGTATTTGATAATAGCTTTCTCAGATGAAAAGTATCGCCATTATTAACAATAAATCTTCCAATAGCTGGGAAGTCTTGTGTTGGCTATACTTATGATCCTATATGATTTAGGTATCCACTGTTGGATACACCTATACCCATGATCCTATATAATTTAGGTATCCACTGTTGGATACGGCTATACCCATGATCCTATATAATTTAGGTATCCACTGTTGGATACACCTATACCCATGATCCTATATAATTTAGGTATCCACTGNTATTATATATTCCTCTCTTAGTTTTACCCCCGACACCGGTTCCTTTTCTGTATTATATATTCCTCTCTTAGTTTTACCCCCGACACCGGTTCCTTTATTATATATTCCTCTCTTAATTTTACCCCCAACACCAGTTCCTTTTTCTGTCATTCAAAAACGTAATTTTACTGAACTTATAGATTGCAGATTCTCCAATAGCTTCTCTTAGAATTAACGAAGGAGTTAATTTAAATCCCGCTCTGAAAATACCCAAGTATAGAGCTTAGACTAGCTCAGAACAATTTCTATGAACTCTAGGTAATTGTAAATAAATTGTGCAAATACACATATAATATATTTTGGGAGAATGTTCTTATTCTACAATAGAGACTGAATGGGCTTTAGCCAATCAGTCTCAATTCACAGCTAACAATATCATTTTCTGACCAGTGCCCATACTATTTTCTTTCATACCTTTTATAAGAATTAGAGCTTTAAAACCGTGGAATAGGAAGACGACATACCTTGTTAATAGCACTGAATAAGCATTATTTTGTGTGTTTGCCGTTGTTATAATACAAATAGCTTTTCCAAATAACCAGAGTCCAAAACTTAAAGTATAAATTAAAAGGAATTGAGTCTTTGCCACAAACTATGATTTTCTAATTTGTATATCTTTGCAACCCTCTGTTGTAAACCTTAGATATTTCAAACTATGAATTCTAATATATCAAGTAACCTAATTTTGAAATATCACAGGCTTACAACATCGGGTTGCAAAGATATTGGGATTGGAAGATTTAAGTTTGTGACAAATACTCATTTAACCTTTCTGTAAACTATTAAATTCAGAGCTAATTAAATTTAGTTCCAGACTCTTTAATCTATGTATACATATAAAGTAGTAATCTCTGTTAAACCCACTGTAAAATTCAAGACAATTATCATTTTCTTTCTATATTTTCAGAGGAAACTAAATAGATCCATAAATTCTGGAGAATGACTGGGAAAATGACATACTTATGTGACAGGTAAAAAATAGTCTGTTTTATACTTCTCAACATTTAGAAAATATTTTTTTAAGTTCTCATGTTTTAAATAATATCATATTCTAATATTACAAATTTGTACCGATTTCCTGGATTTCCTATTTTAATTAGTGGATTTTGGAAGTTTTTAAATTTTAAGCGGTTATAGATGGAATTAAAAGAATTTGTGCCGCGGTTTAAATCTGCCGCCGCTCAAGTTCTTTAAATTCGGCCACATGGAGGCGGAATTAAAAAATTTAAACTTAAACGCCAAAACCTGTTCCAATGAAGCACCGGCTCAAATTTTAGAAACATTGAATTCAATTTGGTGCGAAACCAATCCCATGTTTGAGCTGCGTATCAAATTTCAGACGCGGCTCAAACTCTTTAAATTCGGCCTCATAGCACTTAAATTTAGTTTAATTTTTTTACGTCTAATGAATACAAACATCCTTATATAAAGTTTATATTTTCCATCAAATTCGTCCCACTCGACCCCCACCCATGTCCCAAGGGAAATAACTTGATCTTGAATGTTGAATATGCAAATAAGCTTATTCTACTGCATGCCTTCAAACTTTACTATAGAGACCAGATAAATGTCTCAAATCCGGTAAAATCCTAGAATTCCTGGGATTAAGCGGTGTCGTTCTTCTTGGGCTTAGCCGGATATACAATACAACAGTTTTGGTCTCTACAGTCTTTAAAAACACATTCTTTAGACCTTTTAAGCTTTAATCTAAACTTCCATCTAAAGTCAGAATGTTTGTGTTGTGAATTTTGGGTTGAATAATTGTTCTCAAGTTAATGCAAACATATTTATCTAATTCATCTTCGATATTCTGGTTATACCCTCCAATTCTATTGATAAACAAAATAAATATATCCACCACTGATCCTCAAATTTTAAAGTTCCCATACTGGATATCGAAGTCAATTGTTCAAGCTTAACAATACTTCTTACTAAAGTTTTAGATACAAATCTTTCTCGAGATTAGGATTTCAAAAAAAGACACAAAAAGTATTGGATTGAAAATCCAAAAGAAGCTTTTATTGCTGTGCATAAAAATTATGTTAGATAATTATACAACATGTATTATTGACATCCATTAGATATATAAAAGATATTAAAATGATATTGGAAAATGCATAAAATATTCTTTTTACGGCTGGATAGATATGTATATCGGAATTTTATGATCTATAAAATAATTCATGGACAAATAACTTACATACTAATGGTACAATGTACATTCCTTAGATTTTTTTACTGAATTTTTTCCCAAAAATGATAGATATTTTTTCAAAGAAAATCAACTCATATAAGCTTTGGGATTTGGCTTTAACTGCAGGTTAAAGTTTTAACTACTCAACCCTTAAACAAATTGCTTTTTGTCAAAACCTATAAAAGGTTTAAGAATCATGTTGCAGGGGAACGATGACAATGAGTTGCAGGGATGGAAAACTTCACAATCACTCAGCTGATTTTGGCGCCAAATCAGCTGATTATTGCGCTTCCGCTCTCAGCATTGAAAACGCGGGAAACATCGGTGACCATGGTATAGGTAAAAAAACTCAATGTTTTTTCTATAAAAAAAATTTTTATTGTTTCTGTTTTGTTCTCACATCAGCATGAAACAAAAACTTTTTCAATTTTAAACTTTGGAATAGTATTGTTAACATAATCTTTTTTTGAGGTTTAAATATGAATTTTCATTATAGGTTCTGAAAAATGTGAAAATGGTAAGCCGGCTAAAAATGCCCAACGCCCTAGATTACCTCTACCTAAGATAAAGCCCATTCACAGGTATAACTTTGGCTCAGAATTAATACGGAAACTTGAAATACCCCTCCATGGATGAGGGGGGGGGGCAAGCGGTGCATGCTAACTAGGCCAAAAAAGTTGGTGGAAAGTTTAGCCATTTCAAGAGGTTTGAACGAACCTTTTTTCTCTCCCCAATCACCCAATATTGGAAAAAATATATGCCATCTGCCCAAAATCCAATTCTTTATCCAAGACGTCTTTTCTATCGCTATCCTCCTTGTAGTTTATAGCCTTAAAATCAAAAAGAAACTGAATCTTCCAGAAACTATAACAGATCTCTTCTAAACTAATTCATATAAATAGAGAGATATGATAAAAAATCTTTAAAAATGGAAAAGTTCAGATTTATTTAATGCTGCTCAAATCTTTAGCTTACCGAAATTTCTTCGAAATTAAGAACTGAATGTTATGGACATAAAATAAATGTCAGGTATATCCTTGACATTCACTATGTCGTTCAAATGTTTATATGTTTCAAATTAGGTTAATATTAAAAACTATGACAATGAAAAAATGTTACAACTTCAGACCATAACTTTCTATGCGAAAAAAAGAAATAGTCAAAGAATTTAGAATTTAGTACATTTCTGATTTTAGAAAAAATACCGAATTCTCAATTCTAGAAGTTTCTCTGAAAAGTTCCGGGAAATCATTCGCGTACATCAAGCAAATTCTTTATCCGACTTAAGAAAGAGTTTTTTAGGAAACTTTCGAAATGTCTCTTCTTTCTACTAACAAAAGTGTGGGCCATTATTTGGCTTATCTACTACCCCCCCCCCCTTCTCTGAAATACAATATGTACCATAGAAATCACATTCAGACTAGTCTCCTTTAGCCTTAATAGACTAGGGACCCCCTCCTTTGTTTCCTTATTTATTATTGTTCAAAAATATAGCATTTGTTACTATTTTTAAAAAGTCTTTGGGCTCTAGATTAATAATCATAAAAAATCCAAAATCAAAAGTCTATGAAACAATCTCAATATAGATTTAGTCTGGATAGGTAAAAATGGCATTCAGGCAGTATGCCTGAGGATTCAGGCAGTAGGGTTAAAAGCCCAGCTTATTGCCCAATGTTCGGAAAGCTAATAGATTTGAACATTTCAGACCAATACTTTGAAGTTTTGTCCAAAAAACGTTAATGTGAAGGGATTAATATTTCAGAGAAAAGAAATAATACAAGCTATAACAACACAATATATGCCTTAATTATACAAGCTCTAATTGGGATGGGGTGGGGGGTAAACAGGATCAAGTCTGTCATCAGCTGATGTTTAACAGATTAAGTCGAGTCTCAGATGAGGCCTTAAGCCGGGGATTAAGGAACTGTATCCCGGGTTCTAAAGATTTCAATCTTAAATTTAATTATTTTTCTGTCTTTGAACCCATTTTCAACCGGCTTTAAAAGGTTTAGTTTTGACATTTTTATTATTATTAATTCATCTTTGATTGAGTTTCAAATTATTCTAATTATTTAGTTAAAAAGCTAAAGCTTGCGTGACTTAAAATTTCATTTGATTAAATTTAATTTTAAGTTTAAAGTTTAAATGCAGTAAAGTAACACTAAATAATTTACAAGAGGGAACTTAAATCTAGAAATAAGGAAAAGGTCAGAATTTATGCAAAATTACCGACACAACTTTGTGACCTTGTAGGTAGTAGGTCCTCTAATTTTGATTTTAGCCCAAATAGGAGAAAAGCAAATCTACTTTATTCGGGGGCGTATTCAGGAATTTTTGCAGAGGGGGGGGGTTGTGGTTAATATACATGTTATTTTAGGGGGAGGGGAGGAATTCAGCACACATTGGGGCTAAAATAAAACTGAAACCCATAGAATTCACTGATCCAAGGGAGGGGGGAGGGGGCCCTCAATGAATAGGCCTCTGACTTTATTAAATTTCAAAATTCAAAAATATAACATGAGAATGATTTAGATCAAAATTAATAATTGTTTTTGATTAGAATGACTTTTTCCAATAGATTTTAGAGCAAATATTGTTAAATCAGTGTGAATGTACACTCTGTACACTTTATAACTCAATTAGAAAATAGATAAAATTGACTGTTTCATTATTAGAATTAAAATATTCTTTTACAAAATGATTTTTTTCCTGACTTTTGTTTTAATATAAATACCATGCGTACTATTAGTATATTGTTGACTATAACTTAAGTATTCAATGATTGACGAATTGACATTTGACAGTTGATAGATAACTTTTCAATGCCTCTACTTAAACCCTTATCAGATACAAACTTGGTATTCTGCTTTAATGCTTAAAAGTGTAAATAGCGTGGCATTAATGCACAAAAAGTACGCATTGAGATAATAAAATTTATGTTGATATTTTCGTAATTCGGAAATTTTTTAAGCTAAAGATTTCTGCTTAAAGCACAAAATATAATCACCTATAAGCATTTGATATAATATTTTGATCTTAATTAGAAAAAAAATTGCATTTGTCAAATATCCTTCATAAATCAAGTATTTTTTTTGTACAAGTCTTAGAGTCTAAATAGAAATGCTTGTTCATCTTTTAAAGCACTAGGAAAATGTCATATTGGTCGATTTTAAAGATTCAAAAGAAATTTAGATAGTTATTAAAAAACTGATAAAAAAACTAATTTTAAAATAGCGAAATAAAAAATAATTGCAAAAATCTGTAAGATAGTTAATACAGTTTCGAAAGAAGTCATATTGTCAATTTTTCAATGGGGGTTTTAATGATATATCAAGGATAATATAGCTAAATCTCAAAAAATTGTAAAACTGAAGAAATAAGTATTAATATGCGGGAACAATTTTTAAGAGCTCACTATTACTGTTTAGTTTAAAAATATCTACGGCATTCCTTTTTAAGTAGGTTTAAAAAACGACATTTTATCAATTCTTTTGATGTCTCTGAAGTTCATGGTGAAACTGTTCAGGGTGAAACTGTTCAGGGTTAGACTGTTCAGGGTGAAACTGTTCAGGGTGAAACTGTTCAGGGTTAGACTGTTCAGTGTGAATCTGTTCAGGGTGAAACTGTTCAGGGTGAAACTGTTCAGAGTGAAACTGTTCAGGGTTAGACTGTTCACTGAACAGTGTTCAGGGTGAAACTGTAGCCGAATAAGTTTTTAAAATCTATGTCTATAAGAGCAGGGAGGAAAGAAAGATTAATTGGAGGTGGCTCGGAAAATAGCGGTATGAACGCTGGATTGAACATTGCCACCCGTTAACCTTCCATCATCTAGAAAAAAAGAAAACAAGGATAAAGAAGGAAAGGATGAAAGGAAAAATCAAGAAAAAAAGGATAAAGAAGGAAAGGATGAAAGGAAAAATCAAGAAAAAAAGGATAAAGAAGGAAAGGATGAAAGAAAAAATCAAGAAAAAAAGGATAAAGAAGGAAAGGATGAAAGGAAAAATAAAGAAAAAAAAGAATGAAGAAGGAAAGGATGAAAGGAAAAATAAAGAAAAAAAGGATAAAAAAGGAAAGGATGAAAGGAAAAATCAAGAATAAAATGGATAAAGAATGAAAGGATGAAAGGAAAAATCAAGAATAAAATGGATAAAGAATGAAAGGATGAAAGGAAAAATCAAGAAAAAAAGGATAAAGAAGGAAAGGATGAAAGGAAAAAAAAGGATAAAGAAGGAAAGGATGAAAGGAAAAATACAGAATAAAAAGAATAAAGAAGGAAAGGATGAAAGGAAAAATAAAGAATAAAAAAGGATAAAGAAGGAAAGGTTGAAAGGAAAAATCAAGAAAAAAAGGATAAAGAAGGAAAGGATGAAAGGAAAAAAAAGAAAAAAAGGATAAAGAAGGAAAGGATGAAAGGAAAAATACAGAATAAAAAGAATAAATAAGGAAAAGATGAAAGGAAAAATAAAGAACAAAAAAGATAAAGAAGGAAAGGATGAAAGGAAAAATAAAGAATAAAAAGTATAAAAAAGGAATGGATGAAATCAAAAATAAAGAAAAAAGAATAAAGAAGGAAAGGATGAAAGGAAAAATAAAGAAAAAAAAATAAATTGTTTAGGGCGGATACTCGAACTATTCTAGAGAGATTAGAAGCCAGGCTCCAGGATATATCTAGATCCCAGGTTAATATTACTTTATCTAGATCTAGATCCCAGGATAATATTACTTTATCTAGATCCTAGGTTAATATTACTTTATCAAGATCTAGATCCCAGGTTAATATTACTTTATTAAGATCCCAGGTTAGTTAATATTACTTTACTACATCGGTTATTATTACTTTATTAAGATCCCAGATTAATATTACTTTATCTAGATCCCAGGTTAATATTACTTTACTACATCGGTTATTATTACTTTATTAAGATCCCAGATTAATATTACTTTATCTAGATCCCAGGTTAATATTACTTTACTACATCGGTTATTATTACTTTATTAAGATCCCAGATTAATATTACTTTATCTAGATCCCAGGTTAATATTACTTTACTACATCGGTTATTATTACTTTATTAAGATCCCAGATTAATATTACTTTATCTAGATCCCAGGTTAATATTACTTTACTACATCGGTTATTATTACTTTATTAAGATCCCAGATTAATATTACTTTATCTAGATCCCAGGTTAATATTACTTTACTACATCGGTTATTATTACTTTATTAAGATCCCAGATTAATATTACTTTATCTAGATCCCAGGTTAATATTACTTTACTACATCGGTTATTATTACTTTATTAAGATCCCAGGTTAATATTACTTTATCTAGATCCCAGGTTAATATTACTTTACTACATCGGTTATTATTACTTTATTAAGATCCCAGGTTAATATCACCTTACTACATTGGTTATTATTACTTTATTAAGATCCCAGGTTAATATTACTTTATTACATCCTAGGTTATTATTACTTTATCAAGATCCCAGGTTAATATTACTTTATTACATCCCAGGTTGATATTACTTTATTACATCCTAGGTTATTATTACTTTATCAAGATCCAAGTTTAATATTACTTTATCAAGATCCAAGGTTAATATTAATTTATCAAGATCCCAGGTTAATATTACTTTATTACATCCTAGGTTATTATTACTTTATCAAGATCCCTGGTTAATATTACTTTATTACATCCCAGGTTGATATTACTTTATTACATCCTAAGTTATTATTACTTTATCAAGATCCAAGGTTAATATTACTTTATCAAGATCCCAGGTTAATATTACTTTATTACATCCTAGGTTATTATTACTTTATCAAGATCCCAGGTTAATATTACTTTATATATTACTTTATTACATCCCAGGTTGATATTGCTTTATTACATCCTAGGTTATTATTACTATATCAAGATCCAAGGTTAATATTACTTTATCAAGATTTTTACTTTATCAAGATCCCAGGTTAATATTACTTTATCAAGATCTAGATCCCAGGATAATATTACTTTATTTCATCCCAGGTTGATATTACTTTATTACATCCTAGGTTATTATTACTTTATCAAGATCCAAGGTTAATATTACTTTATCAAAAACCCAGAGTAATATTACTTTATCAAGATTCGTGTGTAATATCACTTCATCAAGATCCAACTAAATATGCATGGAAGGGATCTGAGTTCTTGCAATAAACTCTAATGTTTTAATCCCACGTATCTTTGCAACCTGCGATGTCGTCGACCTTAGATATTTTAACCCATAAATTATGTAAGATAAAATTTAGTTTCAGTTTGATATATCAGAGGTTTACACCATTAGGTTACAAAGATGTAAAGTGTTTCTTTACACACTTTCCTTATCTCTGAATCGACCCCCTCTCAAGAGTTTTGTTCAAATTTGTGTTTAAATTAATAGAAAAAATAGCAAAAAAAGAATTGTTTTATGGTTATATTTTTTTTATTTTTTTTTATTTATGTTTAGAGGGTTCTGTACAGCCTGGTTACTGAATGTTCAAACCGGTCTAATCTAGTTTATCAACAAAACTCATTTATTATCAATCATCTGAAAGTAATATCATTTTCTTTAATATTTACATATTATTCATGTTATTGTATTTAGGAGACAATAATAAGATTGATGCGTCGGGGTTAAAGAGACTGCATACGCATAATTTCAAGTGACCCTCTATGCAAAGATGTCAATGTCTGATTTACAAGGGGACCCTTAAAAGCTTTGTCTGATCAATTATGAATAAGATATCATGTAATATATAAAAATGATTATTTTTAATTGTGGTTTCTCCACAAAAATGTTTTATCACTTTTATAAAATATCTGAACTCAACGCTCTTTTCTACTTTATTGATCAGATAAAGGTTCTTAAGGTTCTTAAAGGCGCCAGAGTGAATCGGGCAATGCCATCTTTGCATGGAGGATCACTCTAAAATTACACTTACAGTCCCTTTAAACAAATAAAAATGCATTTAAGATATTTTGTAAAGAACAGTTTATCCTAATTTCAAGCTGAAGTGCTTCTAAATGCTAGGAAAGGCTAAAAATGTTACAAAACTTATTATATAAAAAAAATCCTTTTCCCAAAGATTTTCTAGGAAGCCAAATGTTACTAAAATACACATGAAAGACGATAGCTTTGATTAAATTAGTAAAAGCCGGATACTTTTTGATTAATGTAACCCCCCTCCCTTCCAGGACAGGAATAGGGTTAAAAAAGTTTTAAATAACACATTTTCGAAATC